CACGTTAAAGATCCCTTGGTGGTCTAGAATCGATAAGAGTAGGCTTCGGCCGCCACCCGGGCAAAATTCAAAATATCCTACCAACTGAAAATATTAGGAGTGTCCCGCGCGCTCATATGACCTATGCAGTTGCGAGCGCCGTAAAACACTTTACAAAAACAAACAAACAAAACAGTCTCAGCTAGCTTCCCGAATAAACGAACTCCTCGCCAGAGATTCGAACTACAACCATCCACAGACTAGGTCAGCGTGATTCAGCGGGTCTTTTGTCGCTACGATGAAGAAGTCTAAATAAAGGAGTCTTCCCAAACAGGTGTTTTGTGGACTGAAGTGACTCTTAAAATAGGGGTTCGTGCACTCGTGTGTGTGTGTGTGTGTGTGTGTGTGTGTGTGTGTGTGTGTGTGTGTGTTTAAAGAATCAGCATCGAAAAAGAGACTAAGAAAAGAGAAGAAGAGATAAGGTTAGGTCAAACTGTAATGACCCACGAATAGAAATAAACTGTGGGTAGAAATACCAGTCCATCAACAGAATAATTGTTTTAAGAATCAGCATCGAAAAAGAGACGTATTATAATAAGCTAAGAAAAGAGATAAGAATAGATAAGATAAGGTCAAACCGTACGTATTGATCCACGAATAGAAATAAACTGAGAGTGGAAACCCCAGAACATCAACATAATACATAATATTACTTATGTGTATAAAGAATCAACATCGAAAAGGAGACTTATAATAAGCTAAGAAAAGAAAAGAAAAGATTAGAATAGATAAGATAAGGTCAAACCGTACGTATTGATCCACGAATAAATAAACCGAGAGTAGAAATACCAGTACATCGACATAATATTACATATGTGTATAAAGAATCAACATCGAAAAAGAGACGTAGGCCTATAAATAAGACAAGAAAAGAAAAGAAAAGATAAGAACAGATAAGATAAGGTCAAACCGTACGTATTGATCCACGAATAAATAAACTGAGAGTAGAAATACATGTACCAGAACATCAACATAATATTGCAAGTGTTTAAAAAAATCAGCATTAAAAAAACAGACGTATAAATAAGATAAGAAAACAAAACAAAAGATAAGAAAAGATAAGATAAGGTTAAACCGTATTGATCCACGAATTAAAAAACTGTGGGTGAAAATATCATTACATCATCATGATAATAATATTACATGTGTATGAAGAATCAGCATTTAAAAACAGATGTATAAATGAGATAGGGGGCTCTCGTGGCCTAGAGGTTAAGGTGTTGGCCTCTCATTCAAAGGTCCCGGGTTCGAATCCGGGTAGCGACCACAAAATTTACTTCTCTAAAATTGTCTCCTTTCACCTCCTTTCCTGCTCTCTAGAAATGTTCTGTTGTCTGCTTTCATTTCCACTTTCTGCCCCCACCCCCTCACCTCCTTTGCTCCCTCCTCTGGGCTCCTGACTCTTTCTGCAGCCTTTCTACTGTTACTCCTTGGCCCCTCCTTACTGCTGTCTTTTTGCCACACCCCTGATCTTCTGGTAGGAAAGATCTACACCTAGCCTTCTCGGACAAGGGCGAAAAATCTCGGATTGCCCGTGTGCAAGCTGCGCACGTTAAAGATCCCTTGGTGGTCTAAAATCGATGAGAGTAGGCTTCGGCCGCCACCCGGGCAAAATTCAAAACTTCCTACCAACTGAAAACATTAGGTGTGTCCTGCGCGCTCATATGACCTTATGCAGTTGCGAGCGCCGTAAAACACTTTACAAAAACAATAAATAAGATAAGAAAAGACAAGATAAGGTAAAAAAAAGAAGAGAAAAGATAAGGATGAACCGTATTGATCCACGAATAAATAAAGTGTTGGTGGAAATACCAGCAATCTACATCATCATATTACATGACAATGTGCATAAAGAATCTGCATCGAAAGAAACAGACTTATAGATAAGATAAGATAGAAAAAAAAGATAAGATAAGATAAGATAAGGATGAAGATCTGCCAATAATTAAACAGTGGGTGAAGATACTACGCAGAACATCAACTTAAACATATAATTACTTGTATAAATTAAATATTCAGCATGAAGGGGGCCCACAGAAAGATACAATAAGATAAGATAATACTTTATTATCTCAGAGAGAAATTTGTCTTGACTTTACAAGACCGTAAAAACACATGCAGGTATAAATTAAAAAATTCGTCATCATCACCAATGCCTTTCACCCCTGGCAGGGTATAGGCCACATACAAGCTCCTTCCATTTATCTCTGTCCTGAGCCATCCTTCCAAGCTCGTTCCAAGTGAGCTTCATTTCTCTCATGTCCCTTTCCACGCATCTCCTCAATGTTTCCCGTGGCCTACCCCTGCCTCGTGCTCCTTGTGGGTTCCACTACAGTGACTGTCTTATGATGTTTCCGCTGGGCTTGCTTAGGGTGTGTCCCATCCATCGCCACTTTTTTAGTCCTATTTCTACTTCTATATCCTTTTGTCCTGTCCTTTCCCACAGTTCTTCATTTCTTATTCTATCCTGCCACTTAATTCTTAGAACACTCCTCATACATCTGTTGATGAAAGTCTGGACTTTATTCAATACTGTTTTCGTTGTCTTCCAAGTTTCGCAGCCGTAGAGGAGCACAGACTTGACGTTGGAGTTAAAGAGTTAAACACATGCAGGTATAAAAAAAAAAATTATATTATTACTCTCATTAAAATTCAATTTGAAAAGAGAAGTAAAGCTGACAAAAATGTACATATTAATTTCACATCAGATGCATCATTCAACCACATGCAGCAACTTAATTACAAGATCTTTGGAGCTATAATAATAGCTACATACTCTAAAGAGCGATACGCATCCTGTGCTTATTCTGACAATAGTCTTAAGCTAGATGGTAAAAAGTTTTTTTCACATCTTTCTTTCTTTTTTTTTACAGATACATAAGAAATAGGGGGCTCTCGTGGCCTAGAGGTTAAGGTGTTGGCCTCTCATTCAAAGGTCCCGGGTTCGAATCCGGGTAGCGACCGAAACATGTTCTTCTCTAAAATTGTCTCCTTTCACCTCCTTTCCTGCTCTCTAGCAATATTCTGTTGTCTGCTTTCATTTCCACTTTCTGCCACCACCCCCTCACCTCCTTTGCCCCCTCCTCTGGGCTCCTGACTCTTTCTGCAGCCTTTCTACTGCTACTCCTTGGCTCCTCCTTACTGCTGTCTTTCTGTCACACCCCTGATCTTCTGGTAGGAAAGATCTACACCTAGCCTTCTCGGACAAGGGAGAAAAATCTCGGACGGCCCGTGTGCAAGCTGCGCACGTTAAAGATCTCTTGGTGGTCTAAAATCGATAAGAGTAGGCTTCGGCCGCCACCCGGGCAAAATTCAAAATTTCCTACCAACTGAACATGTTAGGTGTGTCCCGCGCGCTCATATGACTTTATGCAGTTGCGAGCGCCGTAAAACACTTTACAAAAACAAAAAACAAACAAGCATAAGAAATAATATATATGCCACTGCGTGATCTGACCATTTGCGTGGAAAGGGGGTGTTATGGGTCTTTTATATTGCTTTCTATCTTTTTTATACTTGTGGAAAGAAGCACTGGAGAATATTGTAACAACAGGCAAGTTTGATGGAAAGAGAGGCAGAGGCAGACAGAGGGAAAAGATACTGGACAAGATGACAACATGGCTATAGGAGCAGCAAGAACAACAGACACCATTGCTGCAACGCAAGACAGAGTGAAGTGGAGGTCCGTGATCGCCCTCGCCAGTCGGCAAGGCACCGGATGATGATGATACTTGTGGTGTTATACATTTCATCAATGCACTCATAAGATTCACATAGTGATAGTATTTATACAGAGGTACAACGATTGACAACTCTCTCTCTCTCTCTCTCTCTCTCTCTCTCTCTCTCTCTCTCTCTCTCTCTCTCTCTCTCTCTCTCCCCCACACACACACACACACATACACACAAATACTAGTGGTGTTATACATTTCATCAATGCATTCATAAGATTCACATAGTGATAGTATTTATACAGAGGTACAACGATTCTCTCTCTCTCCCACACACACACACACACACACACACACACACACACACACACACACACACACACACACACACACACACATACACACAAATACTCACACGCAGTTGTTTTTTGAACACATAATGGATTTAAGAACTACTAAACACAGCATCTACATTGGATCCACGTTTATAATCCACTGACGATCACTTACACACTTACAAAAGAGAACTGCTTAATTAATGAAACTGAATCCATCCATTTTCTTTTCCTGCGCTTTGGGTGGGCAGTTATTCTTTTTTTCCTTTTTCGTGATACAACGCGGGACACATTTAATTGGTTTTGATTGATTGTTTGTTTGTTTGCTTGCTTGTTTGCTTGTTTGTTTGTTTGTTTGTTTGTTTGTATTCCTACATTTTTACTGTGAGGCTTTAAATTACCCTAACACAT